ATGGTTTGGTCAGGAAAGATGATCTCTTTGGTCCCATCAGGATAATGCTTCTCGATTTGTTTGCTAGAAAGACAAAAGCGAAAGTGATTCTGAATCAGAAATAGTTAAGAATTGAATAGAATATAAAATGACACAAAACAAGTTTTTTGCAATAGAGCTGGATATTCTCTGGCAAATGTAGTATTGACCCTTTTCCTCCCATGTTAGCTCATTTTACTAGAGGAGACCTGTTCAGGACTCTCGTCAAGCCATCTAGACTGTTATCAAGAAAAAATCCGTTAGTGTATTTGCGGTGGAATTTACAGTTAACAGAACAAATGGGTGAAGTTAGTCTTTGAGCGGTCCCTTCTTTCAAACCAGTTAGTCTTTGAGCAGTCCCTTCTTTCAAACCAGAAAGAGGCAAGAAAAGAGATGCAAGAAAAGTGACATCAAATTTTTGAGTGAATTTTTTTCCCCGACTCGCGCGACGGATTTCCTTGAAAGGAGGAGGGAATGCTCCTAGTTTAGGGTGAAATCGTCAGAAAAATGGAAACCCGGAACAGATCGTCGCCGAAGAGCAAGAGATAAAAACATTGTTGTTTGGACTTGTTTTCAGCCCAGTTATGGAAGATCTAAGTAGACCAATTTTCATTTGATTATCGAAAGTGATCCAAGATTGCACAGATCTTTTTCTTTGTGACACCCTCTGTGACTGGTCCAGGAAACCTGTACCACCCTTGGCCTCTCAACCAATCAGATGCAAAGTTAAAACCAATGCTGACTTGGCCGCTAACACTTTCCCGCGCTTTAGGCTTTTTAAAAGAAACTTCAGAGGAGCAACATGTTAACTGCATTCAAACCTGGGAAACTGCAAAACCTCCAGCCCGTCTGGATAAGTGGTATGTGTTGTTTGAACGTCAGAATAGTAGTACATCTTATAACAGAAATAAGAAAATGCAAGGTAAATAAACTTCCATCACTAGAGTAACCAAAAATAACTTCAAGAAACTTTCTCATTCTCGTCAAACCCACCACGTGGACATGGTTTCTCTTTTGTTGTGGGCTGGAGCTCAGCGGAGACAAAATCGGCATTTTATAGAAAATAAATTGACGCGAAACCAGCGTTCCTTCACCCGAGCGAAAGTTTGAAGACTGGTGCAATACCAGACCAGCGAGAAGTCTGGCACAAATGACTAGTGCTAGATCTCCCTAAGCAAACCTCCCCAAGCAGACCTCCCGCTTTGTTCCACGCCTTAGACTTTTTCCACGCGTGGAAAAATTGTTCTAGCGGCAGCGCCAATAATGAGCCGGTACTCCACGAAGGCTATTATGTTAGGTGTATTAATTCGCCTTACCACCCGTTGGTCCGGCATGATTTGCTTAATATCTCCGTTGAAGAAAGTGACGGTGATTGTTTGGCCGTCGACACTGATGTCTTTTCTTGTCCCGTTTGCGAAGGAGATCACACGAGACCCGTCACTATTGACTTTTTCCACCTGAAAATATATTTGTTTTAACTTAGCTTATGGTAGCTTTCTAAAGAAATAGTGGTCTTAGATTGCTGGACTTCAGCTCAAGAAGTTTGGATGCGAGCCCTGTGGTGTTGTGAGAAAGAGACTTGAGTTCTACAGAACTTTTCTCGGAGAGAATTTCTGATGGGAACAGTACTTGCGAACTTAAAAGAAACCTGACAAAGTTTTGAGGATGGT